TGGGGAGCTAATGTCCTTCTTTCCCTCCCCTCCTCTTTTGGTTCCTCCTCTGGCTTCTACCCCTTCTCCTCTGGCTCCTTTCCCTTCTTCCCTGTTTTCTATTAATTGTGGTGTGCTCCTGGAGAGGGGAGCCTCTCTCTGTGGGGTTCCTTACATCCTATCTGCAGATCAGGTTTTCCTGCCTTTACTCCGAAAAGGGAGCCAAGTGGAACAGCCCATTTCCCTTCTCAGAATAGCTTTATCACATGTTGCATGTGTCAGTTAACAACCTTTCAGCCAGGTTGTTTTGAGAACCCTGGCAGTTGCCTCCTTGAAAAAAATTTAATTCCCTTCCAGAGCTTAAAGTAACACTCTTCCTTACAACATCAAATTGAGCAAGGCTTTTATTAACACCTAACAGCTTGGTATTCCCTGAATTTACCCTGCAAGATATTGATTACTCCAGAAGATTCACTAAGAATTTTGAGTTTTAAAGACAACGGAACTTACAGTGGGCTGGAGACTAGTGCTCATAAACTAGATGTGATTTTATGAGCCAACACTTGGGCAACAAACTATAGGTGAAACTAAAGATGTACATTTGATGGATGGGTGACACACCTCCGAACCACCAGTCACAGAACTCTACACAGCCAGGCAAGATATGGACTCCTCTCACTAATGTGCCTGATTCAAACGGGCTAAGGAAAGCAGACGCACACTGAAATGACTGGTCTTGGGACCAAGGCATGGTCTGCTAACTAGCAGAGTGCTGAGTAGCACTCGAGCGGGAAGCCAACATTCGGGTCGTCAGGCAGGAAGGCAGCCAGAAGCCAGGAATCTCAGCCAAATCAAAGGTCAAGGTGAAAGTTAAGTCAGGAGTGAGACCTGCCGGAAGAAGTCAGAGCATTGATGGATGCATCAAATGTTGGAGTCAGGCTGTGAGACAAGTACAGAAACAAATACAGAAGAATTGCAGGGAGGCCCAGATACAGAAGGATATGGAAATGAAGGTAGTCAGAATTTTAGGGATAATCAAGAACTCTGCAGAAGCCAAAGTAGGTGAGGTGGGGAGAAGCATACATATAATCCCACTTCCTTAAGTGACCCTGACCCCGAGGCAAGCTGTCCTGGGTTCGAGTTCTCCTATTGCAAGATGGACACTGTGGAACTGGCTCAAGACAGCTGGGAGCCTGAGGGAAGACCCTTGATCTCCATGTATTAGGGGGCTGTATTTTTAAGGGAACAGATGCCCATTCTCCTGTAACTTTTTGGTAGTTTAGTGACGGTGACCTCACAAAATAATGTGAGCAGCAGATATAAACACAGCTGTTGATCCCGATTCTTTGTGGTGAAAAAATTGGACGACCAGAGAACTGATTAAATTGTTCTAGTTTTGTACAGTGGAAAACTCTAGTTACTGAAAAGGCGATATAGGTATTTTTATATTTATATGGGAAAATGTCCACAATCTACTGAGTGAAAAAAAGCAGGCAATAGACAGACATATGTTATTATTCCAGTTAGGAAAAGATTGATGCTATTGACATATACACACTCATGCACGTGTGTACGTGCAGGACTGCAATTCAGCCAGAACACACTGATACAGTCATATAGACATACTCTTTGTTGATGTGTCTGTGCCTTTGATAGGTCAGTGCCTTTCCTGTACCAGTTGTTAAATAGTTTAAATATTTTTCCTCTGTATACTCATTGGAAAATACTCCTCAACGTGCTGTGTCCATCTTTGTGTGGGTTCTGGGGATTTCTACTGTTTTCTCCATACTTTTTCATAATGTTTTAATTTTTCACAGTTTGCATATGTTAATTTTACAGTCAGAATAAATAATAAAGGTATTTTTATTTTGGAAAAAAGTTACATTAGATTTGCCCAAGCAAAAAAAACATCGTTTTTCAGAAAAAAACTTCTCTTTCTTTAGTTTTTTTTTTTTTTTTTTTTTTTTTTTTTTTTTTTTTTTTTTTTGCTGTTGAGTTTTTGGGGTTTTTTTTGCCACATGGTATGCGGGATCTTAGTTCCCTGACCAGGGATCGAACCTGTGCCCCCTGCAGTGGAAACGAGGAGTCTTAACCACTGAACCGCCAGGGAAGTCCCCCCAGAAAAGAGCTTCTGATATGGATAAGCATAGCAAACAAACTTTTCCTTTGGTCTTTGAGAAATTTGGCACTTTTTCTTCAAAATTATTGTGCCTTCATGGGAACTGGCTTCTTAATTATGGTACCTCAAATATCAAAACCTCATTTTTTTTTTTTTACAAGATCACTAGACTGCTTAGGCAAACATAGGGAGTCTGGTAGGTCTAGATTTCACAGCTGACAAGTTCTCTCATGGATATCCTTTGGTCTAGACAAGGAAGTATGGACTGGATGCAGAGACACTTGGAACGGTTGACAGCCCATAGCCACAGGGCCTTCTTTAATGAGCTCTAATGGCAAACTGGAGTATGATATTTTTTGGTAAAGTCCCTGGCCTCTGTCCTCAACCACTGGACCACCAGGGAAGTCCTGAGCTATAGGGACCTTGAGTGGCATTTACAGAACTGAAGCATTCAATGAAGAAGGCATTAATCTTGTACTACAGTGAATGTCAAAGGTGGCAGCTGTTCAAAGATGCAGTGGGTTGCCTCACAAAGGGGTCTCCAACTGAATGTCCCTCCCTTTCCCAGCCCTCTCAGGAGGTGGTGAAGGAGATGATACAGTTCTCCAAGGATACGCTGGAAAAAATTGACAAGGCTCGCTCTGAGGGTTTGTACCACGAGGTAAGAATTCATTTTTTTTTTTTTGTGGTACGTGGGCCTCTCACTGTTGTGGCCTCTCCCGTTGCGGAGCGCAGGCTCAGCGGCCATGGCTCACAGGCCCAGCCGCTCCGTGGCATGTGGGATCTTCCTGGACCGGGGCACAAACCCGTGTTCCCTGCATCAGCAACTCATTGAAACTGGATTTGAGGAGAGCACAGGCAGCCTGACAAATGTCCTGGGGCTGGGGGGTGTCTGTGATATCGGGGATTGAGGAATGGAAATGGCAGTGGGAGTCTTGCTTTCTCATGTCCTGGCTACAGTGTCCAGATCTACTAACTGTGCATTCAACCCTGGCTCTAGAAACACCAGGAGTTCTCAACTGGCTGTACACTAGAATCATTGAAAAAATCCTGATGCTCAGGACAATTCCTCCAGAATCTCTAGGAGTGGGACCCAGACATTAAGATTTGTAAAGCTCCCAAGTGATTTCAACAAGCGCCTAAAGTTGAGACCCACTGCCAACACTGACCTGCAGAGCATGTGCCTGCACTGAATTCACAAAGGCAGCTTGTTGGAAATACAGATTCCCACATCTCACCCGCTAAGGTGTGATTCATCTAGTCTGCAACAGAACACAGGGACCATGAATCAGTATTTTTTCCCCCAAACTCTTTAAACAATTTGGTAGCTAGGTTTGGATGGCACTAGTGCATGGCAAGGTGGGAGATTAATTTCTGTTCATTTCTATCTGCTTTTCTCTGATCTTCATTTGCCTCCTTTCCTCACTCATTCTTTGCCCATTTTTGAGCCCTTACTTGGGTGACCAACACACGACATGCTCTTTGCCTCCCGGGAGTTCTGTCAGGTTGCGGGGAGAGAGTCCCATGAACATAGCGTTGCTGTACGGTACGGAAAATCTATGGCAGAGGCTCGAGGTAGGAGCTGGAGCTCCGGATTCCATTCCTCTGTCGTCTTCGTTTGTCCTCTTCTCTGCTGAAGCTTGGTAGGGTCGAGTGTAGGGCTGGACGCTGCCCATGGCTTACAAGGATTGTCTTCAGGATGGATTGTTTGCCAGCTCACAGTTTGTCACACCACCCCTACCCAGCTGCCTCATGGGCCTCTGGGAGAGTCTCAGAGAAAACTCGTTTCCACGCATTTGAAATGGAAAGAATTGTGTAACATTTCTCCCGTGAGAGTGGCAAGGGAAGGAGGGGAGAACTGTGAACCACTAAAATCTAGAGACCATCTGACTTTGTAGGGTGTAACTGAAGATACGTCTACACATGAATCAGTCAGAAAAGCCTGACTATAAAGCCGCTTGTGGTCGGGCCCATCGTCTTCCTCACCAGGACCCATGTGGCCTCCTCCTGATGGGTCGCCTGGCCTCTCTCTCTGCCAATCCATCCCGTACACTTCGAGCAGGGCATGACTGTTCAACCTCGCTGTGCATAAGGGCCACCCAGGGGCAGATGTGAAGGATGCCAGTGTCCCTCCCCCGGGTATTCAGTTTCAATCGGTCTGGGGTAGGACTCAGACATCGGGATTTAAAAAAGCTCTCCAGATGACTGCAAAGCACAGCCAGGATGCAGAATCATGGGAATGATGGTTAAGATAAAGCTCCACTGCTTGATTTGAACGCTTGATCCATTGCTCACTTTCTGTGTAACTTTGGCAAAGCCCTTGCCACTCTGTGCTGCAGTTTCCTTGTCTGGGAGAATGGGGATATTCGTAGTGCCTATCTCATGGTGTTGTTGTGAGAAGTACATATATATGTATGAACATGGCTTTCATAACTCCCTACTGACTTCTATGATAACTCCTCATTCTGCCATGTCAGCTGTGTCTCCCACTGTTACCCTTGCCATCCCTACGTCTTCGCCAAACAGGGCCATTTTGCTATTCAGATCACAAACTGGTGCTTTCCCTTCCCTGCCGGCAATTTCCTCAAGCTTCGAAGAGTGAGTGTCCGATGCCATCGTGGTGCTCCCATATGTGAATTAAGCATGTGCTCTGGTGCAGTGATAACAGGGCCTGTGTCTCCTAGGTTGTGAAATTATGCCGAGAATGCCTACAGAAGCAGGAGCCAGTGTTTGCTGACACCAACATCTACACTCTACGGATATTGAGCACCGTTTCCGAGGTCCTCTCCTACCTGCAGGCCTTTGAGGAGGCCTCACACTACGCCAGGAGGATGGTGGATGGCTATATGTAGGTGACGATCCTGGGTCTCAGGTAGTCTCCTGGAAATCTGTCTATTCCAGGGATGGCAAAGAGATGGCATGCATATTGCTACCTCTCCCTCCTGCACCCACAGCAGGCATCAGTAATTGATAACTGTCCTCTTTATAACTGAGTCTTTGTACCATGGTGTTCTGAGCAATAATGTCCAAGTAATCAGATTTGCTACCTGAGATGAAATCTACTTGTCATCCCTGGTCTTTCCCAAATCCTCCAGCTTGTCTATCATTTGGGAGGCATCTTCTGTCTGTGGTTTCCTTAAGGCTAAATCTGGCTTGATTTTAAGTGCTTAGAAAAGTTTCTCCCCCCTAACAATCAACAGAGGCAATCTTGTCAGCTTTAGATTTTATTTTAAAAAAAAAGAGGGACTTCCTTGGTGGTCCAGTGGTTGAGACTCCTCGCTTCCACTGCAGGGGGCATGGGTTCCATCCCTGGTTTGGGAACTAAGATCCCACATGCTGCACAGCAAGGTGCAAAAAAAAAAAAAAAAAAAGAGGTGTCAGCCATTCTTGCTTATAAATTGTAAAAGGCAACTCCTTTTCCCTCCCTCTGCTAATGTCCTCTCTTGCCTTATGTGCCCACATTGGCATGTGAATTTGTATTTTTGGCCAAATGAATATGTTGGCATAAGAAAGTTGCATTTCTTTGAGTAGATGTTACTCATAAACAAAATCTGGAAAAACTGTACACCATGCGAAAAGGAAGTCCTGTTAAGAGAGTGTCAAGGAGGTGAAGATACAACCCTGTCCCGAGAAGGACATTCAAATTATTTTTTTTCCCCTGAACTTCCTAGCCCTTTCAAAGGAGGGCTGAAGGCTCCCAGCTCCTTGTACTCAAGTTCCAAGTACAATCTGACCCCGTTTCCCCATTAGGACTTGGCTCAGTAGCCTAGGTCGGAGCCTCAGCTCTTGCAGCCTCACCGCGTGGGATGTTTGGCATCTCACTGCATCTCTGTGTTCCTTAGTCTCCCTTGATGGTTGATGCCTCACAGCGCTGGTGGGAGAGTATATGGACTTAATCAGTGAGGTCACTTTATAAGTTGTCAAATGTTGTGCAGATAAAAGGTAGGTTGGGAATATGTGTTAATAAGTTATCATTACTTGCTCTGCCCCTGCAGGAAGCTGTATCACCCCAACAGTGCCCAGCTGGGCATGGCCATCATGCGGGCAGGGCTGACCAACTGGCATGCTGGCAACATTGAGGTGGGGCACAGCATGATCTGCAAAGCCTACGCCATTCTCCTGGTGACACACGGACCCTCCCACCCCATCACCAAGGACTTAGAGGCAAGTGGCTTCTTGGGGCATGTCTGGGCCCTCTGAAGATGAAAGCTGAGTGCCAGACTCTGCTTTTGGAAAGACCCTAGATTGCCTGCTAGACCAGAAGGGAATTCAGAAATGCTTAGTCCGCTCCCCTTGTTTTACATCTGAGCAAACTGAGGCCCAGAGAAGGGGAGTAACCTGTCCTTAGTCACAAAGCGAGTGGATGGCAAAATTGAGGCTTGAACGCTGGGATGCTCCAAGCCTGGACTGAGAAAACCTAATGGTGTGCATGCGTGTGTAGCACGTACATTAGAAAACGTGCCACATGGAGTAGAGTCAGGGAGCACAGGCTCTGGGATCAGACTGCTGGGATCCAATTCCAGTTTTACCACTTTCCAGCTTTGTGGCTACAAATATTGAGTGTGTGGGCCTCAGTCTTCTCATCAGAAAAATGGAGAAAAAAGGGGTAAGGTTGTGGCAAAGGTTCAATGAATTGACGTGTGAAACGCACTCAGAGCAGTGTCTGGTGAGTGGCACATGCTCTTCATAGCGGCTGGCTGGCTTTGTGCTTCGAGGGCTGATTTATTTGGAAGTGACAGGGTTCAGAGGACTGTCCTCAGGCAGTAGTACAGGG